TAGTGCATGTGTATTATAGTTAGTATATGCGTGTGTGCGGTGTATGTGTGTAGTTGTCAATTAAAATATTCGCATTTCCAACTTTAATTCAACTATCAGAAAAACAGCGAGCCAGTGTAGGAATGACGAATTAGGCTTGATTGATATTTGATACAACACTAGTACGCTTATGTTTTCCGCCGTCATTTGACTACATGAATGATGTGTGTGTGTGTGTGTGTGTGTGTGTGTGTGTGTGTGTGTGTGTGTGTGAATGTGTTTGCGATGTTTGGCTGATCTACACGGTTGACGATAAGTGTGTGTGAGAGAAGATGCTTGCATGTATGGTAGTAGGACATCTTCCGAAGTATGTTTAGTTTATGTTTCTATTGTTTCACTTCAACGAAAGACTAGCAACCCTACTTGCATCCATGTAACGTATGCTGAGAAATAGGAAGCAGCTGTCAGAAAGAACAAAATAGAAAAAAAGATGAAGAAAAGAGATGTGCACATATTTGTAAAGAGGATTAAAACCAATGTGCATTTTGAGTATTGCAATTACGTTCGTTTAAATATGCACCGATGAAATTTTAAAAGTTTGGAAAAATGTTATGTAGGTGTGCAAATATATAGGTAGTACATGTTGGTAAACCATTACCCGCCATAGGCCAGACGTACATTTCGTCTCTCACGAAATATAGGTGGGTAGATAGACTGTCAACGCAGTATGTATAGACGCATATACGTATGCGTGTAACGGTGCTTGTCGATATAAACACTCTTAACACAGAGCAACATAAAATACTGGAAGCCATGGAATGGTCTATATGTCCGTACCTTACGATATCATTAAATATAAAATAAATGTTGATGTCATTTTCAAAGTTGTAAAAAAATTGTCGGTATAATTATTTCAAATTCCGTCAAACTGTCAACTAAAGCAACATTTGAAAAGAGACAATTCCACAATTCCAGCAATTTTCTTTCAATTTTATTGAGTCTCCATTAAATTTTAATTAAATTTTATTTTAGAAACAAAAATATATTTTACTGTAGCAGACTATACTTTCAAAAGAAAATATGATTGCACTCATTCACTCGTGACGTCATGTCATTCACCTCTTCTCTACCCCTTCACTTATCAATCACTCTCCTTTAATGCGGCTAATTGGAAGATGGGGTTGGTGTGGTTCAGTGTAGTGTGGTTCAGTGTGGTCTGGTAAATCGCGATTACAAAGAATAATAAAAAATAAACTATAATAACAATAGATAAATGAATAATGAAAAAAATCAAAATAACTAATGATATGCAACTGTACCTACAGAATCTGTACAAAATAGTGACGGGAGCTTACGTAATTTAGATGTTACCCGATACGTGCAGCTGTAAGGAGTTGTTTATTTTTAATGAATTTTTTCAGTAAATATCATTATACCTTTGTAAATAATCCATTTTACATGTATATTAACATATGTTTATAACATAAACACGTTTTTTGTTAGAATCCGCATACATTGTGCATGTCTTCTCTGTGTGTGTGTGTGTGTATGTGAGTGAGTATATGTGTGTGTGTGTGTGTGGGTATGTGTGTGTGTGGTGTGTTTGTGTCTGTTTGTGTGGCTATTTTCACAATAAATAATAATGAGTTGTCAGTTAATCAGTTGTTTGTGAAGTTAAGAAACGACAGTTGCTTCGTCATTATTATACGTATGTCTGTGTATGAGTATGTGTGTACTTACAAGTGTGTTTGTGTGTGTGTGTATGTATGTTTATGTGTGTGTATGTGTGTGTGTGTGTGTTGTGTGTGCGTGAGCTCCTAAACTTCATCGCAATTCACAACACATGCTAGCGGACAAATTGTTTTTATTGAAGTGTGTTGTGTTTATAGTTGAACATTGAAATATTATCTATCGGCTGCCGTACCATCACCACTACCACCACCATAACACACACACTCACACACACATGCACACACATCTTACATTCCCTGGCCAAGTTTGGCTTCACCATCGTACAAATTTTATTGCAAATTTCATCATCACCAGATACAGAATTTATGACTGCAAAATTAAATTACTACTTCACACAACTTTAATTGCCGCCAAAATTATGTTTTCAAGATGAATTAAAACTGCTCTGATGAGTTAGTTATATAAAATATTAAATGTCATACACATACACGCAAGCAGACGTGTGCATTTACAAATTTATCCACACACACTACACACACCACACACACCACACACACATAAATACATACAATACACACACTCAACACACCTACTCTCTCTTTCTCTTTCTCGCACACACACAACACACAGAAAGAAAGAGAGAAAGACACACACACACAGATATATACACTTAAACACACACACATACACACACTTACATAGTATTCCGTTCAGATCCATAAACAACGAGCAATTGCGTATGTAGCATAAATCATAAGATGAAGCAAGCGTAATTGAATTAATTTATATAACATTTCCTAAATCAACTTTATCTTATATCTGCGTCGGGAGGAAATTCTTTCAATTTTTAATTTATCGCTTCACGCATCATTATCTCAAAAAGTATCTGATACTGTATCTCCACATAAATTATCCTCTACCTAACGCATCAATATCTCAAAAAGTATCTGATACTGCATCTCTACATAAATTATCTTCTACCTATCTCATCGCTCTACTCTTCTTTATGTCTAGCAAGGGTTTTTCGATTTCGGATTTATATAAATATAATAATTATATGTAATGATATTGATAATTATTTTAACAGTTGTAATACAATAAGGATTTATTATTGTAGTTTTTGTCATATTAGGTTACTCAAGTAACATGTTATTGACTGTTGAATGCGGCAAATCTGGACGAAAATTTAAAATTTTATTCAAACAAAATTTTTATTGAGCAATGCTATACAAATATATTTAATCGGTGTGCGCGCGCGTGTGTGTGTAGGTATGCACTTGCAACATTATAGACTAGATTAGACTAGACTAGACTAGAGTCCTCCTCAAATAGTACTGCGACGCGTCATGCGATGCGATCGCAACAAAATTGTCGAAAGTGAAATTTTTGTGTGTTCTTTTATCCTATATAATTTACGTGAAGCTATCGAAAGCAGCGTGTTCAGAGGCATGTTTTAATCACAGTAAGCAGTCATTTGTTTAATAAAAAAAATTTTAAATTCAAATTTTTTCGAAATTTTGATATAGAAATGTGATTGGATGATACAGCATCTGTAACATTTACTTGTATTGTCTGTTTAAACCGCCTGTGTGCGTGTGCGTGTGTGTGTGCGTGTGTGTGTGAGGGTGTTTGTGTGAGGGTGTGTGAGTGTGTGTGTGTGTGTGTGTGTGTGTGTGTGTGTGTGTGTGTAAATAACACCTCCTAAAAACATTTCAATTTATATATTGGAAAGTATAGAAAAAATTGTTCATCACGAAAATTTACGACCAGGCATTCAAAACATAAAAATAATTTTTGTAATGAAATAACAAAAAATACCTTTTACAAGCCAGTAAACTAAAAAGCTTCAAAAATAACAACCCATCAATTGATAATATTTCCGGGGAAAAACGTTAAAAGATTAAAATAGGACTATGACCAAAAAAACTATATCTATATTAATATTTGACCAAATGATAATTATGTGTGGCCAGCGGGTCAAATAAATGTTTGCTAGTCAGATCAGCAGATGAACATCAAACGCTGATGATTTATGGGTTTTTTTTAATGTAGATAAATTTGAACGTACGAACAAGCTTGGCATTTATCATCTATTCAGTCCGTAGCGTTATATTATTATGAATAACCCGACATAAGAGTACATACATGCATGCCTACAAACACACACACACTCACACACACACACACACACACACACACACACACACACATACATACATACATGCATACATACATACATACATACATACATACATACATACATACATACATACATACATGTATATGTACAGTCATTTTGATTGGTTCTCTCAAGCGCCATAACCTATAATATAAAATTCTTATCTTTACGCTGGCTGGAGAGTTTAGCGCATTATAAATCATAAAGTTTCACGTCAGACTCTCTTGATAGTGATACTACTACTACTACTACTACTACTACTACTACTACTACTACTACTACTACTACTACTACTACTACTACTACTACTACTACTACTACTACTACTACTACTACTACTACATGGATGATAAACAAGAGATGATGATGTTGTTGTTGTGATGATGATGATGACGTTGTTGCTGTGATGATGATGATGATGATGATGATGGATGATGATGATTATGATGATGGTGATGATGGTGATAATGATGACAGTGACGACGACGTTTTTGGTGTAGGCGACGATGTTCTTGGTGGCGATGATGTGTGGGCAGCTTTGGGACATGTTGTTAATTTATTAATCCTCCTTTCGAGGTAAGGATGTGATGTAAAGCGCGATGGTGCCAATTAATTGTGAATAACTTTGAAGCTGAAGCTGGTTAGTGTCGAAGACAAAATGTGAAACAGCGTGTGTGTGTGTGTGTGTGTGTGTGTGGATGGCTAATCTGTCGTTATTAGTAACAGATGTTTTGTTGTTGTTGCAACCGCTGATGAAATAAATTTTAGTATATCATTCCAATTAGTTATTTTCATAACATGCATCATATATCAACCTCACAACACACAACAACAAATAACAAACCTTACATTACTCTGACAATATGTTCAAAAAATGGTGTGATTTATATAAAGGGAGATAAACTTGAAATAAGGAAATAGAGTGGATCAAAACATGCCAATTTAGAAATTTACAAACCTACTAAAAATATTTTCGCCGTCAATCTCAAACTGCTTACTACACGATGCGGCGTTTCTGTCTCGCTGCAATTTAGTCTAACCCCAATCGCTTCTTTAAAACTGCATTTTAAATAGTCAACAATAACAATTATAATATCATAAAGTTACACAACGTGTTATAAAATTTTCATTTAAATTTGTTCTCTAGGAGCCAAATGCCTCTGACGTCATCATCGGAGCTGACGATAGAGAAGACACCGAGCTATTTCGTGACTCCCGGTGTTCCGCGTCGCATCCGGGAAGGCATTCCAAACGTCAAGATCATCCTGGTCTTCAAGGATCCGATAACCAGGTTGGTCTCTGATTACACACAGACGATGAGCAAGTACCCGAACATCAGATCCTTCTACTACCATGCATTCCTCAGGAGCAAACGCGAGAGGAACAAACGGTACAAAAAATCAACTAAACAAACAATCAAAATGAAAAAATTGAAATCGTTGAAAAATGTTTCAAAGATGAACAACCAAACAAAAACAAATGGCGTCATTGCCAAGAAGCATGAAATCAACAGGTCTTGGAAAGCACTGGACATAGGAATTTATCACAAGCATCTTCAACGATGGTTGGAGGTTTTCGACAGGTCAGACATGTACTTCATGAGTGGAGAAACGTTAATTACAGACCCGGCTTACGAACTACAAAAAGTAGAGAAGTTTCTCAATTTGAAACCTTTCATAAAACGAGAACATTTTGTCTTCAACGCCAAAAAAGGATTTCTTTGTCCTGTCATTAACGCTACCGACATCAGTCAAATAGAAGTAACGTCCTCCGCAACATCAACAGCATCAACAACATCTCCCGTTACATCAACGAACCAAACACGACATCATATGAACGCAGCAGGGTACATGACATCAACAACGAAAAACTTCAACGACAATCATTCGCATCAAAATAGAACACATTTATTTTCTGAACGGCGTATAGAACAAGCAGAGCTTCAAAGACAATGGCAGCAACAGCAGCAGCAGCAAAATCAGTTAACCTCATCGCCTGATCAAAAACGATTTTTTCAAAATCAACTGAAAACAGCAGCAGTAGCAGCAGCAACAACAAGAATGAAATGCCTGGGAGATAGCAAGGGACGTAGTCACCCACAAATTCATCCAATCAGCTTGTTCAGAATCTCTTCATTCTATCACCCTCTCAATTTAATTTTCTACCAGATGACCGGGATCAACTTCAATTGGACAGAACCATCAAACTATCTTCAGCACTCAACCGCATCAAAATTGATTTTACAAAATTAAACTCCACGAAATAAAAAGAAACAGTTAATCTTTCAGACCGCCAACAATACTGCAACCCTTTCATTGTGTTTCAAACAAACCCATGTGATATTCCTGTGTCTTGCCGATCGAACAATCAAGCGCACATCTCGCCATCGTATGCCGACGGTACATTTCATCAGATTGCTCAGTTTTGTTAACATTTCAAGTTGCTATCAAATTAAACGATTGTCATTTTAACGTAGTTTATTTAATTAGCACTGATATTTGTCATCATATGGCATATGTCAGCTTAACCATTTTTCATATTTTAAAATCCATTTGCATAATAACTTTATTGAATAATACAAACTCGTTATAAGCAAGATGAACATTCAATCAAATTTATTGCTATGACGAGCGTGTCTATGTTGCATGTTGTGTCGTAATTGACCGATGAACGAGCAAACGTGGTAGCGATGAAATTCACCAACTCTTGCAACTTCGTGCTTAACACTGCTTTTCAACCTCATTATGTAGAAGTGGATGAATCAAATTCCATTCAAAAGCAGCATCAAAATTTGTTGATTAATGAAAAAAAATCTGACTGAAGCGAAATGAAAAGCAAAATGATGCTCTGTAATTTATTTTATTCATGCCAGGTACATTTGGAATGTTGCTTATGAATATTTTGAAAACATTGTATATTTTACCATAACTACAATATCAAATAATAATGACTGATTTTATTTTTTTGTAAATATATCGATTTATTTAATTAAGCTATAATAATAATTGTGGCCTTTGTTGATGTACAGAATACAACTTATAATTTTCTTGGTGTTGTTGCTTTGATATGTTTCAAATTCTCATTATAAGCACTTAATTACAGTATTAAAAAACTGTTTGAACAAATTTAATTTTAATCAGCGCAATCAATTTTGTGTCCCAATTTTTTGGTATCGACATTTGATCTCGAAATTGTAAATATTAAAAATTCAACTCTGCAAAAATCGATCGATCAGCGAAGAGAAATGATCATGGAAAATAAATTCCAGCCTGAAGAGAGGAGTTACATTTCTTAGAACATTTTTGAAAGCATCTTTGAGCGTCTCTGCCTCGCACGCACAATTCATTAACGCCTCCTCTGACATTTTCTAATGAGTGAGACCATCAATCATCCATCTCATTCATCATCATCGTCGTCGTCGTCGTCATCATACTTCTTGTTGTAATCGACCTCTTCTCAGCCAGCACTGAACACCAGGTTCTTTCACGCAGTTTCCTGGCACGAATACAAAGTGCACCATGCAAATGCATCGCATACGTTTTTATTCAGTTTGTCTATTTCTGTTTATTATCGCCTTTAATAATTTAAAAAAATTATGAAAAATTACTTGAAATAACTGAAACGGAGTTGAAACAAAAGCTTCATTACTGTCGTTTGAATGAGAAGTTTTTTTCAATAATGAGTTTATTCAGCAAAAAGGTTATGAATATATCTGTCAACAGACTCCATAAAAGGTCCATAATATTGCTTTATTATTGCCTGGGTTGGCAGCATTTTGGTGGGGTGTTGTTGTTTCTAACAGACACTGCCTAGCTTCAACACTCATCATTCTACTTTTCTTCATCACCACCAACCTACACCTGATCATATATCGACATGTTGCTTAAAAATTGCAAAATAAACTGTTTTATTTATTTCAGAGAATGAATTATAATGAAATAAAAAGTAGCAAGTAGTATTAACAATAATATTCATATAGTCATAACAAAGAAAAATATGTGTTACTTGTTTGAAAAAAAAACAACCACATCACCACATCATCACGATCATCTGACAACAACAACGATGTGTGCATGTATGTGTGTTGTGTGTGTGTGCGTATGTGCATGTATGTGTGTTTTGTGTGTGTGTGTGTGTGTGTGTGTGTGTGGTTAGCTTTGGCATATCATATATGAATGTGTATGTGTTGAGTGTGTGAATGTGCTTGCGTTAAATATATATAATACGTGTGTGATTATATATATATATATATATATATATATATATATATATATATATATATATATTTTACAATATTCTATAAAAAATTATGGTCTATTACCAACACACACACACACACACACACACACACACACACACATATATATATATATATATATATATATATATATATTCAGTTATTTGGAAGAGGCGTCATTTAAAGTGATGTTGTGACGTTTATAAGCAAAACTTTAACACATTCCTCCTCCATAACTCATTCAACATCTAACATCTTCGACATCACTTACATCAACAACAAAGCAAACAACACACGTAAATATTGTGTGTTGGTGTGTGTGTGTGTGTTTTTGTGTGTCCGTGCCTGTGTGTGCGTGTAACGTATCTTCCTCAGTTATAATAACTTCGATCCAACACGTTGATGAATGTGTAACTACTGATTACATCCAACCGCAGACAACAACATAACGATCTATAATGTTGAAGATACATCGGCGTTAGACAACTTTCGTCTCCATATCATGCAGACGGGTGAGCGCCAAATTAGCTAAATGTGTCTCAGGCAACCATTGCAATAATAATAATAAAAAGAAACAAATCGATCCACATGCTGCTGCAAAAACTCTATCAAATTCGTGCTTTTCGGTTAAATAATTTATAAGAAACAATAAGTTCACCAACAGTTTTTTTTCTATGTGTGTGTGTGTGTTTGTGTGTGCGTTTGTGTGTGTGTGCATGTAAAAAATAAAAAATGCAGATACGAAAAGATTTAAAAATAATCTGAAGGGACAAGACGCCATAAACACGGAGGAGGCATTAATATTCACACATCTTATCTCGAAGTTTGACGATAATGTTAATAAAATATCAATCAGCATTTGAGCATTTGTTACCTTTTTATTCATTTCCATTCTTTCATCCGTCCATCCATCTTTCTTTTTCGTCAGTTGTTTTTCTTTATTCCATGAATTCATTTGGCGAAGCTTTCTTTCATTTTTCTATCTTTTTCTCAATCTCTCGTCTACTATCTATCCAACCAGCCATATATCAATATCTTCATTCCTTCACTAATCTATCCATTCATCAATAACTCATTTTTCAACTTATCAAATAAATTTTTTATATTATTTCATCGTACGCAAACAGCTGTCTCGTCAAAATATTTAATCAAATATATTTTATTTGTTCTACGTGCGCTCAGCTTGCGAGCGAGTCATTCACACCTTCAGTCGCAATCCATTCAATCACTCCGTACAAACATTTCTTTTACTCATTTTCGCATTTTTTTTATCTTTCGCAATGATTAATGTTCTTTTTTTCAACGATTACAAAGTGAAATTAATTTCGATATTGAAGCTTATGGATGCGAATTCTTGCAAGATCCCACCACGTTGCGTCACTCTTGGCATTCAATTTTTATTAATAATAAATTAAAAATCTTACATTTTCAATTATGTATATATATTTTCATATGTGCCTGTGTGTGTGTGTGCGTGTGTGTGTGTGTGTGCGTGTGTAAAAGTTTTCAAGTTGGCAAATTTTTAAAAATGTGATAGCATGTTGAAGGATAATTATTAAGAGAATTCAATGATTGAAAACATCATGCGACAAATTTTATTTTTATACAATTTTATAGTGAATAAATACAAAAAAACAGTCCATAAAAAATGCATTCAACTACCTTGCTCGATGGTTATTATAGGTGGAATAATTGCAAGTTGTCATAGTTTAATGTAACATCCGTACGCAAGAACATGCCGAGAAATTGTGCGCATACATACATGCCTGTATGTCTGTAGGTAGGTAGGCTATTTGTGCAATTATGAACAAACAGACTTGCAATCCAAATAATCATTAATTATTTAAACAACTCATTAGTTCTTTTTTCGCTGTTATGTTGTTAAAGGAGACTTTTCTATGATTAAAGTTATAAATAAATAAATAAATGATTTTAAGTCGATAGAAATAATTTCGGAAAGATTGGCATGATGGAGCTTGCACACAAGCACCACACGAAAGTTTTTGAAATTAAATTTCTTCAGCGATGTTCAGCAAGGAAAGGAGGATGAGTGGCGGTGCAAAATGAATAGAAATCTCAACAAGGGGAATCTCAGAGAGTAACGTGAAACTTTTCAGCTTTTCAGACCACGGCGACTGCAATTATCATGTCAGAAAATCCAGGCAGTGTAATTTGCGTCATCCTTTAAATTTATTTTAGCATAAAGAATTGCATTCTGCTAAAATTAGAAACTGTTTCCAGCACTTATAGTGTAGATTCAATTTTTTCAAATTTATGTTTTATCAGAATAATGTTAGCAGTTTATTTATTGGCCTTTGTTGATAAATACGCGGCATATGAAAGCACGCAAGCTGCCAACGACTACGTAGGCTAGAATAAAAATGATTAATCAAAGATGCCTGGGGGTTAGTGTTATTCACACACGCACACACACACACACACACACACACGCACGCACGCACAAACACACACGCACACAAAGAAACACACAAGTTTATCACGCGTCTGCCTACCATCTTTTTCACCCGTCACAATTATACAACATAACGATAACAATGTAACTGGCAAAGCCAAAAACAACCTATCAACGGTTCATATAATTGCACAGAGGCACAAACAATAGCAGCAAAAACATTAACAAGCACAACATTAACAACAACAATAACATTAACAACAACATTAACAACATTGTTAATGTTGTGGCTGGTCGCATTGACACGAAAACAATTGTTTCCAACTAGAAATAAATGAAAGGTTAAAGGTCATATGACAGGAACAGAATTGTACAAAACTCGCTTCCTATTTTTTCACATATAAAACTCACACGGACACAAATATACAATTCCTATTGACTCCGCTCCAACACATATATGCAAAAAAACACAAACACACACACACAGTGTGTGTGTGTGTGTGTTTGTATGAAAAAGTGTGAGTGCGTGTATGTAGTATACAAACTGGGCAAAATCGTTCTTACAATATTTGATCTTATCTTTGATTGTCATCTACGAAATG